TGTGAGATAAGTGAAATAAACTCATTTACTAACGATGTATGGAGCAAAAATGAATTGAAACAAGGAATTGTTGGTGAGACTATCAAAAACTATGAATTTTTAAAGGGACTTAATAGAAGATCTTTCTTGTAACTTATGAACAATAAGACAGAATACAAGATTCAATGCTTTTTAATGTGTCTAAAGCTTTAGTTGATCAAGAATAAAGAAATAGAATAAATTTATTGACTTACTTTGATTGAAAATCTTCTATTGAAAAGTTTCGATTTGTTTAAATTATTTCACAATATAATCTAATTTTGTTTAACAAAAATCATATATAAAATCTTCAAATGTCAAATAATTATATTATAATACATCAATATAAATAGTTTTAAGATATAAATGTTATCTTTAAACGACAATAATAATAAATATAAATTTTCTTCTTGCCAACGTCTACTAATTTTTTCTGAAGAAATATTTATTCTTCGTGTATATGTTCGATATTATATAAAATATGTACATCGACATTTCATCAAATTAATTATTGTTTTTGCTCGTATGCATCAAATAGCGCATGTAATATTATTTACGTCACAATTTTTATTCAGAACTATTGCATTTTTTTTATAGGAATGTAAATAGACTAATGAAACGCTCTAATTAAGTCACGATCTTCATTTCATCACAATATTGAGTTGATTTTGTAAATCGATACAAAAACTTTTCTATATGTTTCTTTGTATTTTGACTACATTATTATCAACAAGTCTATTTAACGCAGAATGTCATAATTTTTTATCGCTTATTTGTTTAGTAATTATTCATATTTAACACTTATAGTATGATGAATGATTTTCAATTTTTTTTATGACATAGAAAAATATAAAAATATCTACCAATGTCGAAAGCCTAATTATGATTGTATACAATCAAAATCGAAGCTTAATTATGAATTTAATCGGAAACAATCGTAATAATGATTCAAATTTTTTTCGAAATAAAAAAAACAACATTAACTTGACAGATAGTTGAAATTTAACTTAAGTTAAAGTATTTGCTCATTCGAATAACTAATGACATCTATCATGTGATATAAAATAGCATTTTAATCATTGGAAGAAGAATATTTCAGTAGAATTGAACGTCGAATATTTCTTCTTTTTCCTTGGATTAGTTAAATAATAGGTTAAAGAATATCATTACAGATGAAACACAACGATGTCATCCGACAGCTCGTATTCAATCGTCAAGACGATTAACAAGTTTAGCAACTACTGTCGATTCAGATACATTATTTCCTATGGCACCTCGTTTTCATCGAATCGTACGTAAAATACGACGAGATGAATCCGAGATTAGTCCATGTATTAAGTAAGATATTAAATAACAAAATAAAAATGTGGAAATATAGTTTTTTTTTATCGTTTTAGATATCTTATGTTTGGTTTTAATATTCTTTTCTGGGTAAATATTTTATAGAAATTTTAATTGATTCATTTGTTTTATTTAAAGATCCTTGGCTTGATGATTGCTGCTATTGGTATATATGCTTGGATTGAAAAAGATACATTTAATAATTTTGGTCGTTTAACATTGGGTGGAACATTATTTGTTGATCCAGCATTATTTTTTGTTCTTGTTGGAATTTTAATGTTCTTTATTGGCTTTGCTGGTTGTGTTGGATCATTAAGAGAAAATACTTGTTTATTACTTTTTGTATGTGAATATTTTTGAAAGGAGAAGAAAACAAAATTATTCTTATTTTTATTTTTATTTTATAGTTCAGTTTCGCTTTAGCAATTATCTTTTTTGCACAACTTGCTTTTGGTACATTAATATTTATTTATCGAGAAAAGGTTTTTGTTTTTGTCTTGTTGTTGTTTTATTCTATATTTCGATAATTTTATTGAATTATATACATAGGTTAAAAATGAAGGTGAAAAACAATTAATGATTATGATTCAAAGTTATCGTGATGATCTAGATTTACAAAATATGATTGATTGGATTCAACGTCATTGGCTTCATTGTTGTGGTATAAATAATTATCGAAATTGGGAAAGTAATATTTATTTTAATTGTTCATCAAAAATTCTTGGAAGTATCGAAGCATGTGGTGTACCAGCTAGTTGTTGTCGTACAGAGTATTTTCATGTAAGAAAAATTTTCTTTTCAAAATGAAAAATAAATAAAAAAAAATATTTTTGTTTTATTTTTTTTTTTGTAGAATAATAAACAATGTGGATATGGAACATTAGAACCATCAGCAGTAAGTCTTTTTTTTTGTTTGTAATGAAAAGATCAATTAATAGAAAAAAAGAAATTTTCTTTCTAGACAACACAGATGATTTATACAGAAGGATGTTTACCAAAAGCATTAAAATGGTTTGAAAGACATATTTTATCTGTAGCTATTGTTATTGTTATTCTTGCTGTATTACAAGTAAATAAAAATGAAATAAATTATTTTTCTTTTTCTTTTTATCTTTTCATATATTAATATTGATTTTGTTTATAGATTCTTAGCATTTGCTTTGCACAAAATCTTCGTAATGATATTCTAGTTCAAAAAGCTAAATGGACATGGCATACACATCCATTGATGAATTATCATCGATATTAGATTAGAGGTTTTTTCTTTTATTTCTCAGGAATATTTATTGTCAGAAAAGATACATCATTGTAAATATGTATGTGTGTGTGTGTGTGTGTATGTGTCTTTCATTTTATTTTGCTGACTATATTTGTATAATAGAATGACTAAAACTTTTTTGAATTTAGAAAATATTTGTTAACAATAGAATAAAATTGACTTTGTTGCAGATTTAAAATAAAAAGAATGGAACCAATTAAAAATGCTTTAAATCAAGCAGGAAATTTAGTACAACAAGCTGCACATACTGTAGCTGAAGTTCTTCATATTAGTGAAGCAACAACGGATGATGTATGTTGTTTATTCGATTTTTGATACGCTATTATTATTTTTGTTTTTATTTCTTCTTAGGTTGATAAAACAAAAGAAACGACAAATGATGATGATAATAAAAATGAAGATAAAAATATTGATAGTAAACAAAAGAAATTTGAACAGGAACAAAGCGCAACTATTCAGCAAAGTGATAAAAGAAGAGCATCTCGTGCTTATGAAGATAAACAACAAGAAGTATTATTCAATTTCATAACAAAAAAAAACAAAAAAAGAAAATTTTATTGAAAAAACAAATTCTGAATTTTTTTTTTTTTTTTCTTTCTGTAGAGTGATGCAAAAGTATTAGCAACGTCATGGCCAGATTTAAAAGGTAAAACACGTCATGAAGCAGAAGAATTTATTAAAGCAAGAGGTATTTTAAGAGAATTTTTTTTGTATCTATGTATTTCTTTTTTTTCCGCTTCAGGTTATTCAAACATCAAAATCTTAAAAAAAGGTACATCATCAACAACTCAACATGATGAATCACGTGTAATTTTATTTGTTGATGATAATGATATTGTTGTTGAAGAACCGAAAGTTGGTTAAATAATCAAAAAAAAAAAAA